CCCCAAAACCCCAAAACCCCGATACCACTAACTAAAATCATCTAAATTGTTAAACAGCATATTGTAATTAGTGTGGTAATAATCATAAATTAATTAAAAGTCAAGTGCTCTCAATTATGTCATAATACTGTAATTCTTGAAATTTAATTTGAATTCTAATTCATTGTATCTTTAGGCAAATCTAAGAAGCAAATTCTGGAATTATTTACTAGTATTGATGTCTATGGTAGACCTTTTACACTAACCTTCAAGGGATAAAAGTAGCTTCCATTTCATTGATATATTTTAGAACGTTTAAGACCCCTGTTGGAGCATTAGCAACAGGAATTATATTTGTTACTTTAGTCAGCTACATCTCTTATAAATCAGTTAGACTATTCTGTAAGCTATTTTAAATTACAACAAAGGATTTAGAAAAAGAAGATAACAAGATAGGTAGGTACGTCCTAAATGAAGCTTAGAATGATAACCCAGATATTATTGATGTTTAGTAAGTACTAATCATATCTGACAATGATACTAGTGAGAGAGGTTTTGATATTGCATTTGGAGGATACAATGACATAAGCCCAAAGTATGGGCATGTGTCTGCAGTGCACTATACGAAGACTAGAGAGATTGATAGTGTGACTAATAAAGTCGGTAATAAGTTTATATTAGCTGAGTGCGTTTTAGATAACAAATTTGAAAATCAACAGTTAGAACTTATCAAATGTAAAGATCTTTATTTCAACTATCCCAGGAAAAATGAATCTGCATATCTAGATGTTGCTGACCTCTTATGTATTAAAGATAAATCAATGCTTAAGCTTGGAGGAGCTTGGACTACGAAAAGATTATAAGAAATAGACATTTGCCTAGCCCCTTGTGAAAATTCTACTGCAAACAATTTTTCATGCGCCCCATAAACTGAGATAGAAACGTATTTTAAGGATGTAAGTTAAGGATTCAAGTAAATATCTATCATAGGTGGATTTCTAGATAAGATACGTCAATTAATACTTTGATTTCGATGATCTTGAATAACCAGTTAAGAAGTATATTGAGGATAGATACTTTATACCAGTTTAAACTTTTTAGTAAAAAGGAATGGAAATATTCATTAAAAAATCATTCCCCTAATTAAATGATGACTACAATCCTTTCAGTCGTACTAAATATGAACCATTTGTTTAGGTCGATAACTTCATAGAGTATACATCTAAAGTCAACTACTATATGAATTGCTATGTAAAAGTAATATTGAGAGTAGACTTAGAATATGAAATATACACTAGATAAGTTTATACCTTTGCAGACTTATTAACAGATCTAGGAGGAATTTTCAGTGCTTTGTTTGCTATTGGTAGTATATCTGTTAGCTTTATCAGTGAGAATATGTTCTATTCTCAAATCATTAAGGATGTATATTAGACTTAGAGTTACAATGATAAAAAAGTTCAATCTAGCAATCAAAATGATTTTGAAAGCTAAAGAGATCTTGATAAGCATAGTATTTCAGATTAATCTCCAAAAACCGCTCTTTTTTAATCTCCATCTAATACATCATAAAAGAGGTTGCTCTGGGATTTTTCAAGCGAGACTAATATATTGGAAAAGGTATTGGTAGAAATATAAAGCAGATTAAGATTCAAATACAACTTTAAAAATATCATTCAGTATACTTTCAAATGTTATAGAAGAAAGCACATCCATGAGAAAAAGAGCGAAGATAAGTACAGAAGGATGTTTTTATTTGAAAAAGGAATAAAGAAAATAGATCATGAATTTGATGCAATCAGTTTATGTAAACACATGAAATAACTCAAATTACTTACATCCGTATTACTCGATCCAACATAAAAGCTTTTGCTGGGATTTTAAAGGAAAAATGCTTTGGACTCAGAGAGCAGTGATCACTACTCGGATGATGATGATGATGTTTAAATCATTAAGAAAATGAAGACCAAGAATGAATTTGTTAGGCTGATGTGTTTAGGGAGGATTAAAACTCAGCTAAAAGAGTATTTTGATAAAAAGAATGGAAGATTTAAAGAGATTGATTAAAGATTGTTTGAAGGTATCATGAATAAACACTTGGATCTATCCAAGAGAATTGCTAGCTAAGGTAGCCCAAGTAATCAGTTCAAAGATAATGATAATACAATCACAACTTAGAATTTACATTCTAGACTAATGAAGATGTCATTTAGATTAGATAATTCAGCAATAGGGAAATCACAAGGTCAAGACGGCCTACTCAGCACTATGGGAGCTACAATTCAAAATCAACACCAATTACTAAAATTAAATAAGGTGCATAATGATGATTAGATAGAAACTAACCGTATTGATATGAAACAGACTGGCAATGCAAATGAAATTGAAAATTTTATGCCAGTTCCACTTAATAGTGTAACTTCAGGATCAACAAGCAAGCAAAAATTAGCTGGGATCATTAATTATCCCAAATATAATAAAATTACAATCCCTACTCTCAACAAGCTAAGTCAGGGCTAAGAAGCTGAAAATACGATAGATGATTAAATAAATACCTTAAGATTCTCAAAATTAAGAAGTAAGAGAAAATTCATTAAAACAAGAAGGGGCAATGGACATAAATAAGATGAGGATGATGATGAAACTACAAATAATAAAACTGATATGTAGTAGGACCATTGATATTGAGTTGATATTTAAATTCTAAGATCCTGCTATTAAAAATATTGATTTTTAGAAATATGGAAATGATTATTTTATTAAAAATTGGATTAAATACAGAACTAAGGGGTTTTGGGGTTTTGGGGTTTTGGGG